AAACTTCTTAGCTCTCTTAAGAATTATTTTTTGTTTAAGATTATTTATTTGACAGAGAGATAGACACAGTGAGAGAAGGAACACAAGCAAGGGGAGTGGGAGAGGGAGAAGCAGGCTTCCCGCGGAGCAGGGAGCCCGATGCGGGGCTCGATCCCAGGACCCCGGGATCATGACCTGAGCCGAAGGCAGACGCTGAACGACTGAGCCACCCAGGCGCCCCTTAAGAATTACTTCTGATTGAGAAGTGATCTTGTTTGTGACACCAAATCAAGTTCATCTGTGTCCTCAGTTTCTCAAAACTGAAGCAAAATTATAAATAGAAGCAGAGAATTAACACCCAATGGACTTAGAGGATACATGCATAGACACACATGGGCTCACACACAATACTGTAATGTAGAAGGTTGACCCAAGACAATAGGCAGCTGCGTATAGACATACACAGTGATTATGAACACTCATCCTCAAGAGGGTGTCCTGGACTCTGCACCTGCCGTGATCACACCCGCAAACAAACACGCATGTGAGCGTGCAAGGGACAATGGCGTCCTCTCCCCCCAGCCCTGTACTGGCATGCCTTCCCTGTGCAGTACAGACCTAGTAACCATTACACAATGTCAACTGAGAAGGGGGGGAAGGTGCTCAACGTTGGCAGGTCAGGGAAAAGCACCTGTTTGGTGGATCAGCAGAGTGTTTACAGATACGAAACCAGTTTGTATAAATTCTGAATTGTGGCCTCTCTGGGTTGCATAAAGAAACCACCAACAAAGGATGCTCCTTGCCCAGCCTGAGGAGGCAGCTGATGCCACCTACAGCCTGCAGACTGGCTCTGCATCCGATCTGGCCACCCTGTCGGCCCTCCGTGGAAGACAGGAGATTAGATTTATGCTGGGGAGGGAAATGGGCAGTCAATGCTCAGGATGAATTTTTTTCCTGATAAATTATAAATAATTAAACACGAGTTTAAAAATTATCTGACTAAAGTGTTTTTAGAGATCGCAGTAATTGCATTAAGATTTGTGAATACATTTCTTATAAATATATTTCTTCTAGAGAGCACCTTATGAGATATACCCGTGTGTGTGTGTGTGTGTGTGTGTGTGTGTGTGTGTGTGTGTGTAGCAAGCCCAAAACATTCAACCCAATTCTAGATTAGGTTAGCGGGTACATGCTTATCCATGTAGTCGTATCTTAGGAGAAACCAGATTGCTGTGGAACCATCAGATAACGCACACTTCTGAAAAGAAATGGAATGTATTTTTCTTAGCACAGCCAAGATGAAGTATGTCTTGAAATCTCTTTTACAAATAAACTTGCACATAAATTGTCCATTCACTGCTTCGAAATCTTTTTTTCACGTTTGAGGAGCTGTCAGGGGTCCCTAATAAACATGAGTCTTACTTAGTTTACTGGATATGTAATTATTCTTTTCTTTGAAAATAATTATTTTTCAAACAAATGCAGCAAAAATACAACCAATAAAAATCTGGCTATGACAGCACAAACAACCTTTACAGCCAGCATATACATAGAGTTCTTCCAATACAAGCAATTTCTGGTAAGGAAAGGGACACAGAAAATTGGCCGACTGGTGCCGAGACCCAAGGCTGGGGTTCCTAAGGGTTGACAGACAGACCCTCAGAGCCCATTCCCATTTCCCCATCGGGATAGCCCCTGACTGTTGGGGACAGTTGGAGCATCCCACTTGCCGGCATATTTCAACTTGGTTTGCGAGATACCCTTCCCAAGGCCCATTCTTGAAGGGGCCACCAAAGCTGATGGACAGTGGGGTGAGAAGTTCCTTGGAGGGCTCTGCAGGGCAGGACACAGACCCCCTGCCTTTTGGTTCTCCCTATTCTGCATCCAGCGCTGTGGTCTCTCGAGAGGGCGGTACCAGGGCGATGGCAGGGCAGGGGCACAGGGATTAGGGTGGATTTCGCAGAATCTAGCCCAGGGATTCTGCTCTGGATTTCAGTCATCTCTAGTCCACCTGTCGGGGCTCTCTGGAAGTACCTTATTTGGGTCCTCCCCAGCCCTGCACCCAGTGGTGGTCACTGTGCCCCTGCTTAGGAGCCCTGGCCACCAGTGAGTGTGGACAGAGCGTGAGCCCGTCGGGGGGTGGGGAATGGGCTCCTGGGCATCCCCAGCCAGGTACAGACTCCTCCTGGGGAGCTCCATGTTCACGGGTTCTCAGCAGACGTGCGGGTGTTCATTTATGCTTTTTATAGTAGCTGGAGAAGATGTTATCCCAGCTTGAGAACAGAAATTAAAATATGTATCCTTCAGGTGCAAATCTACTGTACTTACAGTTTTACTGTTTCTCTGCAGGGGGGCTCCATTAATCTTGTAACAGGGAAATTCCTAAGGAAATTAATTCCCTCCAGTTGGGGTTATTCTCAACTGGTCTTCAGGGGCGGAGTAATTGGAATTTAAGAGTCTCTCTTAAAAGAAAGGAAACATTGGCCATTTCACTTGAATAACAACACTTTTTAATGCCATGCTTTGCCCATTAAAAACGCTGGCTCCTTCTCTCCCTCTCAGTACTCCTGTGTCTCTCAGCTCCTCGAGGTGAGGTTTACAAACCCCCTGCCAGGCGGGGGTTTCATTCCCTGTCCTTCACAGTCCTCCTCTATAGTGACTGGGTATTCCTCTCCACTGTGGCTCATTGGTGTCTGCCTAGCACTCGGCCCTGTGCCCTGCCAGGGAGTGACACTTGGCCCCGGGAAGGAAGGATGTGTCATTAAAAATGCACAGCTAAAATATTTCCTTGCCTATTTAGGAGCAGTAAATGTTAGCTGTCATTACCTGGAAAAATAATTACATCTCCATCTCTCTCTCACACACTCTCTCCTTTAAAATGGGGTCAACTCACCGACATCGGGTGGGTGGAGCTACTTTGCTGCCAGGAAGGCCCCCTGCAGCTCTGTCTGGAGCTTTGGCTCTCCCAGGCCAGGATTTCAGTCTTCACAACCCAGAAACCAAGCATGGGTCCCCATGTGCCAGGTCCCCGAGGTGCCACACAGCACCCTTGGGGAAACCTGACGTCCTTTTCAGGGCTGGCTGTGTTGGGAGAGCTGTTCTGCGTTCCTGACTGAGCAGGGTCTGGAAGCCCAGGAGAAGCTCCTACCCAGGGGACACTTCAGGTAAAATGTCACTGGGTTCCCAAAGGGGATGCCCTGAGGGAATAGCACATGGCTACATGATGCTTACATAGGAGGTCAGCAGAAGGTCAGTGCCTGGGATGAACACACATTGGGGACATTGACCAAAATCAGCCCCAATATCTTGCCTTCCTGTGTCTTTGAGCTTTTGAGCACCAACAGGGGCCTTTGGGAGAGCCAAGTCCAGAGTACTCTGCAACAGGCTACACCAGTTTGATAGATAATGAGTTGTTCCCTTTGGGTGCAACGTGCTTAGAGAGAGGACAGGGCATTAACAGCACCTGGGTGGGGTGGGGTGCCATGGTGGGGCACCGGATGGGCGTGAGGTGGTAAGAGAAAGCCTAGGGAGTCTTGATGCTGCCCCTTCCCTGCTGTGGGTCTGGTTGTTGCCTTAGCTATAAGGTGTAGGTAGGCAGTGATGTTTTTACATAAATACAGACACATGTTGAAGGCTTTGGCAGGCTGAAAATCACCATGGGCACGTATATATGGGTACAGACCTGTAGCTCAGATGCAACAGCCAAATACTGCTTGGGTTCAGGGCCCAGTGGAGTGGTATTTGTGGCCCAAGTCAGAGCATTTTAAAGCTCAGAGGTCAGCTTCCAACCGTTAGGCCTGTTGATGTCAATAGTGAGAGCTGCAGAGAGAGCAGGAGGCAGAAGTGGAAATGTAATCTGGGAGTTTCCCTAACATTCTTTTTTGAAAGTAGATAGGTGCTCTGTAGCCGGTGTGTGCTGCTCTCAGCAAATTCCATTTGAAGGGAAAGTCAGAATTTTTAAAACAGCTACATTAGAGGGAGTGAATACTGCTGCTTTTTGAAAAAGAATCACTATAGCACATTTCCCTAGTGCATTACAATTTCATTATTTTTTTAAATTACAAAGCCAGTCCGTGTTCTTTGAAAAAATGCAAATGATACTAAGAAGTACATGATGTAAAAAGGGAAGATGCTCCCTTTGACTCCCCTCCTTTCTGGGGGCAAGCTCTCCTAACACTTTGGGGCATATCCTTCTGAAGACCTTTTTTTTCAATGCTACGTTCATCTATATAGAGTTATGCTATTTTATTTACCTATAGTTCTGTTTAAAATGGCCATCGGAGTATATACATCCTGTTTTGCAAGGTGCTGTTCCCCCCACCTTCTACTGCATTTTTGTAATCTCTAGGTTTTATTTATTGAAAAAAACTTTTTTTACATTTTAAAATAATTTCGTGTCACGCGCAGTTGTAAGGAATAATACAGAGAGATCCTGCGTACACTCTCCCCCAAAGATGACATCTCGCAAAGCCATAGAACAAAACCACGACCAGGATGTCGACATTCACGCCATCCGCCCCTCTTCTTCAGATTCCCCAGTGTTACTTGAATTCATTTGTGTGTGTGTGTGTGTGTGTGTGTGTGTGTGTGTGTGTGTGTGTGTTTTGTCCCGTGAATTTTACGTTTAGGTTTGCAGATGTACCACCACAGCTGGATACAAAACAGTTCCTCGTGGCTCTTACTGCATGTGATTTCCCATTTTCGGTGACATCCCGCCTTTTACTTAATTTCATTTTAGGTGAAAGTGTCATCTTGTTGAGCGTCCAGACCTCGTGACTTCAACTACACTCAGCCGCACGCGCGCACCCCGTCTCCCAGCGGCTGTAGTCGCCGCCGACGCGCTGTGGACTCGCGCGTAGGTGCGCAGACCCGGGGAGCCGGGAGCACGCGGGTCCGGCGCGCGGGCACTCCCCCGGAAGCCCCGCCCCGCCGCCGCGCTCGCGGCTGGCGCAGGCCCGGGGCGGGGCCGGAGGGCGGGGCTTCCGCGCGCCCTCGCCCGAGGCCCCGCCCCCGCCGGCCGCCCACGCTCGATTGCTCCTGTCTGGCGGCGGCAGCATGGCGGCGGGGGCGGCTGAGGCGGTGGCGGCTGTGGTGGAGGTCGGCTCAGCCCAGCAGTTTGAGGAGCTGCTGCGCCTCAGAGCCAAGTGAGCGGCACGGCGGGCGGCAGGGCTGAGGGCACGCGCGCGGGGAGCGGCGTCTCGGGCGGCGGCGGCGTGCGGCCCGGCTCCTTCGGGGCCTGGTGGGGCGGCCGACCCGTGGGGCTCCCAGCCGCCGAGCCCGGCCCCCTGGCCCCGGAAGAGGAGCGGGATGCGGGGCCGAGCTCGGCCCCGCGGCCTGGCCCCGCCGCCCGGCCCGGCGGCCCCCGGGGCCCCCGGCGGCGCGGTGACTCAGCCCCGGGGCCGCGGGGGGAGGGGGCGAGCGGACCCCGCCGGCCCGCGACCCAGGCCCGGCCGCCGCCCGCTGTGTCGGCAGCCGGCGGTTCAGGCAGGCCTCGCTGCTGGGGCCCCTTGCCCGGTTGGCGCCGGGCGTC